GGTTATTGGAACTGGTAACACAAATCCTGCCCATGCTATCACATATTTAAGCCACTTAAAAGCTGTTTATGCCAGCAATACAAATGTAACCTTCAACTTAATTTATAAGACTTAACGATCCCTAATACGGATTTGCTGTCATCCTTCTTTGCCGGGAAGAGGAACACAGCTATATGAAGCAGACATCTCATGTTCCCGCTGAGTGATCTCACCTTAAGACTGAAACCAGTAGGTGGAAGCAGCCCTTACAAGAAAGCATGGGGAGAACAGAGGAGCAAGAGCCAGCGTTAGAGGCGAAGCTGTGGGGTTTGCTGGCTCCATCTAGCTTGAACCAGGCCCTCCTGCATCTTCTCCCAAACTCCCCACACAGCTCTGTTTGCCACAGTCTCTACATGTTGCTTTCTCTTTACTTTTTCCTGCCTGAGCTACACACAACTGACAATGCAAGTGAAAGTTTAGCTTTCAAAATATTTAATATTCTCAGGAATAGGACAAGCTACATGCCAGCCCCACTTTCTCCCAAGAAATGATCAGCTTAGAGAAAATAAAAATGCCCAACACTAAAATAGTAAGATTTCAGGTATATAAACACAAAAGTCTTCTAACATCCTAATTTAATTACTTCTTTTGTAATATGAGCTTCCTGAGAAAATGTGCTAACAGTCAAACAACAAATTGATTCAATAATTATAGGAACTTTTTATTATACTAATACTAATTTATTATACTAATTTGCATTACAACTAGAAGAAATGCACCCCTTATTAAGATCAATGTGTATGAGTTTCCAAATAGTTACCAGCAAATAAAACAACATAAAAACCGTATTCACTGCTTACAGCTTGTAACTTAATTTTTTCAGCACCCCATAAACATCTGCTTATATCATAACACAGGAAAAAAAAGCTGCTACAGATGGAGAGTGCCCATCCTTTTCCCTGAGCTTCTCACCACTGAATGTGTTCTGTCAGATAAAAATCACTCACAAACACCAAGGCAAGCTGTGCAGAGTAACATACATGAAGGCAAACTCAAGAAGAAACTGCCACCACCATGCATCAACAGATGCATCCCACCTACAGCTGTGATTTGCAGTGCTTACTTTTGCTGGTCTTTCATGGTTTCAATGATGGTTCTTAGCTCCTTAATTTGTGTTCTCAGCTCCTCCAGGGTAGTTTGACCTTGGCTCAAGTACTCAGTCTTTGGCTTTCCTTCAGAACCGAACAGGGATGGGGAATTTGGCCTGTGGCTTGTTGTTCCCATAGCAATTGAGTGAAATCCAGGTGACGGTGAAGGGGATAGTGATGGTTGTATAATACAGCCAGTAGTCAAACCTCCTGGTTTTGGAGGCAAGGGATTTTTATTATCAGACACCTGCAACAAAACCAGTAACACTTAATCTCTGGAGAAAACTTCACGAAAATCAGACCACTAGGCAAATATTAAGTGTTTTTCTGCCCTTCAATAATATTGCAAGTCCATAGTCAAACATGGGCAATTTTGGCCACACAATGACAAATATAACAATTAATCGTTATCTTACTTGTGCAAAGCATTCGACACTGTCCCA